AATGAATTTTGATCTAGTAATAGCTTACTGATAAGATTGCAGAATCCTCTTTGTCATTTGGAAACAACCAATTGAAGCAATCAACAACAACCAAAAAATGGGCAGTTTGGGTCGTTTTAACATGCTGTGTTAATGAAAATTGTGTTCAAATAAAGGGTAATGGTGTAATAAATGTAAACACAGTGGAGTTGACTGCAAGAAGTCTAGAAAAGAAAGAGGATCTGGTCTGTCTTACCTAGCTATAGTCCTCGTTCCACAGGATTTGTGGTAACTTAAACACGACATATAATAATATAGTATGCTTCATATTTGGCTTGAAACTTTCTGACCACCAAGCTGAAAAGGACAACTGAGTATTGTAATTCTTATCATTGGAGAGGAGCAAATAGTTAATATTAAGTTCTAAAACAGATGTCCCATCTGGGGCTTTATATAAGAAGCATTGAGTGATAGGGTGGATATTACACTGCATACCATTCCTACAGCAAATAAGGTAATAATTTTTTAACCGTTTCTTATGAAGTTCATCTGATAATAACCCCAACTCGATGTCCATTCTATTCAGAGCTAAAATAGTATGTTCCATCTGTGTGGCCCTCTATTGTCTGGCTTGAATCCAAGGGTAAATTTGGACCTCCTGGCCCTCAGATGGTCTTCCCTGTGTAAGGATCCCTTCTTCCTGCTGGCTTTTTTACTAATCCATTAGAGAAGGAATTTGAGATTGGGCTGTCAAGCGAGGACCAGAACTGCTGTTTGCTGGGTGACTGGTTGAGGTAGGTCCATATGCTGTAGAAACTGAGTGAGAACTGGTGTGGATGGCATGACTTGGAAAAAATCCAGGTGCCTAACTAGGCAAGGTTCCCTGAATAGGGAATGCAGGAGCACCTGCAGGCAAAGCCAGAAACATCTGTGCATCTGTATCAAATTAGAAAGCATTGATCGGCTTTTTATTTCCTAACTTATTAAGATTTAGATTTACTGCTGAGGCTGTGCTAAAGCAGACATGCTTGTAATGCTGCTGGTGGGAGTGTATATTGACACAAACTTTTGGAAAGCAGTTTGGCAGTATATTTCAAGAGCTTTAAAGGCATTCATGCCATTTGACCTGGTAGTTTTACTTCTGGGAACTGTCCCAAGGAAATAATCCTTTTTAAAAAAAGGTCTAAGCCTCAAAAAAATTTTATGTGTAATTTGTAATACTTCATTACCTCATTTATAGTATCAAGAAATTGGAGCAATTTAAATGTCTCACAGAAGGAGAATAGATAAACAAACATATTCCACACAAGGAATACTATGACTCAAGTTAAAATAGTTTGAAGAATATGTTGGAAGATAGAAAATTTCTTAAAATGTTAAAAGAGACAAGCAAGCCACAAAGTATAAATAATAGAAATTGAACTGTTTTTAAAAATATACTTAGAAGAAAAGACTGGTGGGAAATATACCAGAAAAGTAAATCTTTGTTTTTGGTTACCAAAACTTATTTTTAAGAAAAGCGATCAGATAATTTTTGTTTAGCCCTTTTGAAAGACATATATAAATATTCATGTTTCCTAGAAAAGGGAGCTTTATAGTAGAGAAAGGATAATTAATAAAGCTATATGCAGCTAAATTGTGATATTCATCCCCAGATCTGCCAGATCCCTCTGTTTAAAGTCACACTTACTAAGCATTCTGATTTTGACACTAGAAAAAGTCACCCCTAGATGAGGGTCTCTAAAATCCCAGTCATTCAGTAATTACAAAGGCTGTGCATCTATTACAAGTAAATAAACTGACATTTTGGTTTATTAGCTAGTCTCCTGTGGACTTGATTAATGTGAGTCAGTCTCCCAAGAGCCAAATTCTTGCTTTTGAATGGGATAAAATTAGGTTTTTGAACTTGGAAATCTGAGGTCTAGATCCTGGACTTTTTTGATCCCCACCCAAATATAGCAGCAACCCTGGAGCGCAGCTCAGACCATTATCGGTCTGGCCTATTGTTTCAATGGTAAAAGAAGAAAGAGTAGAAATAAAAGGAAAAATTCATGTTTTTGATGAGCTGGTCTTTGAGTTAAAAAAAAGAAAAGAAGCTAGAAATAGTGATGGTCTTTCCTTAAGTGGCAAATGCTTAATAACTTAGTTAGGAAAGCTTCCGATTATTAGACTTTTTTAGTTTTTCTTATATGAAATGTGGTCTGGCTAAGTATATTCCCTTAATGTTTGGCTCACTAGTTAGCTTCTTTAGCAGTATTACCTATTGTATCATCAGGCTTTGTACTTAATACATTTTTTTAAAAATAAAAGGTTTATTCATATATCATTCAGTTCATTCATTTAGAGTATACAGGTTCAATATTTACACAGTTATGCAACCATCACCATGATCAATTTTAGAACATTTCCATCACCCCGAAGAGAAACCCTGTACTGATTAGCAGTTACTCCCCATTTCTTCCTAACCTTCCAGATCACCACTGATCTACTTTTTGTCTCTATAATTTTGCCTACTCTGGGCATATAAAGTAAATCATACAGCATGTGGTCTTTTGCACCTGGCTTCTTCACTCAGCATAATGTTTTGTTTCATTAATATTGTAGAGTGTATCAGTACTTTAATTTATTTTTCATTACTTTTTATTTGTTTTATTTCTAATGTCATACTGTATGGCTATGCCACATTTTATCCATTCATCTGTTGAATGAATATTTTGAATATTTCCACTTTTTGGCTAATATGAATACCAATATGAACAGTCACATACAAGTTTTTGTATGGGCATATTGTTTTCATTTCTCTTGGGTATACCTACTTCTAGGATTGGAATTGCTGGGTTATAGGGTAATTCTATATTTAACATTTTGAAGCAGACTGTTTTCCATAGTGGCTGTACCATTTTCTGATCTCATCAGCAGTGCATGAAAGTTCCACCTTCTCCACATCCTCACCAACACTTGTTCTTACCTGTCTTTTTAATGATAGCCATCCTAGTGGACGTGAAGTGTATCTCATTATGATTTTAATTTGCATTTCCCTAATGATGTTGAGCACCTTTTCATGTGCTTATTGACTATTTGCATATTTTTCTTGGAAAAAAATGGCTATTCAAATCCTTTGCCCATTTTTAAATTGGATTATTTGGTGTTTTTATTGTTGAATTTGTAGAGTTCTTTATATATTTTGTGTGTAATTTCCTTATTACATATTTGTAGATATTTTTTCCTGTCTGTGGGTGTTTCCACTTTCTTGATGGTATCTTTTGAAGCAGATGAGTTTTTAATTTTAATAAAGCCCAGTTTTTTTTCTTGTGCTTTTGGTGTCATATCTAATAAACTGTTGCCTAATCCAGGGTCACAAAAATTTACATCTGTTTTCTTCCAGGAGTTTTATAATTTTAACTCTTACACTTAGGTCTTTGATCCATTTTGAGTAATTTTTTTGTATGTAGTGTAAGAAAGTGTTCCAGCTCTGTTCTTTGGCATGTGGATATCCAGTTGTCCTAGCACCATTTGTTGAAAGGACAATTATCTTTCTCATTGACTTGGCACGCTTGTTGCAAATCAAGTGACTGCAAATATGAGGGTTTATTTCTGGACTCTTAGTTCTATTCCATTGGTTTATATGTCCATACATTTGTATTTTTCTTTTATTCATTCTACAAAGATTTATTGAGCATCTTTGTATGCCAGGCATTGTGCGTGACATGTCTAGCTTACTTATTTTGGGGAACCAGGCCATACCTCTTTTAAGCCCAAATCTCCTTTACAACTGATTCTAACAGGATGTAATATCTCTTTTTCTTAATGAGATATAAAGTAATTTTCTTTCATAGCCAAACCTATGGAGGCAATTTTAGCTTTATATGATTTGCACATAGTCTTTTGGCAAGTTGTAGTTTGTCCAATTATATAAACATCCGGAAGTCTGAGGGTATTTTAGAGGGCTTGGAAGAATGAAAATTGGTCAGGGATAGTCCACTGAATGTATTGAAGATGAGGTTAGTCTTAAAGTGGAAGAAGAATCTGCAACTCGAGATGAGGGGTTCCTGGCACATGTGGAGTTTCCCCACGGGTGACTTGACAGGTCCAGGAAGTTGGTTAGTCTCTTTGCTGGCAACAGAGTAAAGCCACAGAGAAATGGTGGAGGGGCTACTGGATTGAGTAACCTTAATTCTGCTTCCAGATTTCATTTTTGTAGCAGTTCCTTGCCAAAGTGACAAAGAGAAAATAATGATTTCAGATAATGACTTATTGCTGGGTTTAAGATGAATTAAAGGAGGTAAGAATTTTATATAATGGTGACTGGTCTCTAGATAGAGACTGTGGTTTTAGGCATTGAAGGGGGAGGCCAAAGAAATGTAAACTTAGCAGAACTTGATGATTATCTAAAATAACTGAAGATGATCCCAGTATTATAACTTGAGGACATTGGGAAGATAATTGTATCATTGCTTACTGTAATGAACAAGGGGGAAAGAAATGGTATATAAAGATAATAAACTGATTTTGCCTACCTGTTGGCAAAATCTTCAAGTAGATTATAAAAGATGCCCACTTAGCCATTAGATAGTGTATCAAGTCTGCTGTCCTGGAGCTCCCAATATTTCATTGACACAAATACAGTTAATTTTCCTTCCATAGTTACTGTTCATTTTGGAAACCCATATTATAAAATGAGCTTTCAATGTCTGATTTTAAAGGTCAAGCAGTAGTTTTATTTTTCTCTACCTGTATGTGTTAAAAATGTTGAACTTTGACGGTAATTTTAAGAAACTTAGGAAGGGTACCTAGATTCCATGGCTTGCTATTGCCATTGACAATATTACTGTTTTGAGGGAGGAAAAAAGGTTTAATATTGACTACATTGAAAAACATAGCCTATATAGCAATGTAGATAAGTTTCAGTTGCTCGTGATGGTTTTGGCTCTAAACGTTAAAATTTGGATGTCTTAGAAAATCTATTACACGTTGAAACTTAATACAGTACATTTATTTACACATCCTAAAATTTCTTTCAGGAATTGTTCCGTCTTCTGTTGTCCTGACTTCTTTCCAGGTGATGTCAAGAGTTTTTATGTTATGGGCAGTAACACACAGCGTCAAAGAGGTAAGCGTTTATATAAACAAAAATAAAATAATATCAGCATTAACAACCGTTAGTCAACTTTTCTTTCTCACATGGATATTATGGCTGAAGACGGAATTCCAGGTCATATCAGTATAGCCCAGATAAAATTCACATGTACTATAGGAATCAGGTTACTAGTGGGAAACATACCCCAAATATGCAGTGTTGTAAAGAGAAGGTTGGTTAAATAAAGTCCTGAAATCTCAGTTCCCTTGGTGATTTGGCTGGTGTGGATGTGGTCTGCAGTTCAGTTATATTTTTCTGGTTTCTTGTTCATATCCAGCACAGTAAACTCTGGATATCTATATCCTTATAGTGAGACTGTTGGGAGAGTGAGGGACATTAATTCATTCCCAGAGCTGTCCAATCTTTGTAGGACCAGGAAGAACAAACTTGTTTCCACCTAGCCCACCAGGATTAGTAGACTTCCCAAGTGTGCTGAGTCTAGTGGTTCCAGGAGGTGAGTGCTCTGCTGGGGGTCTGGGGTGGTGGAGACCCAGGCAGGCCCAGGGATACTTCTTGTAAGAACCGAGAGGGAGAAAGCCATCATCACTGTGGGTGTAATTCCACAACTAAGCTTTCATTTTCTGGTATCCGGGAAGGGAGTTGTTTTCCAGTATGTTTCTTTGCTTTTTAAAAGTCATTTATTACTTGCTGATGTCACCATGAGGTAGAGTACCTGTAGCCACCAGAAAGATTCAGTTTTCAGTTTTCTAGTCCCAGTAACTTATCACCAGCATTATTGGAGTCTTTAGCCTCATGAAATTTGCTAATCCATTAGCATTATTCTGGTATTTTCCTTGTCTTCCATTATTCTGAAATCCCTGTCAAAAAACATTTTGTTTTTCAGGATTTATTTTGACAGTTTCACTTGTATTTTAACTAATGATTTTTTTAAACTTTTTATTGTCATATGATACACATATGGTAAAATACACATAACTAATAAGTTTTTAACCAAAATTGACTAAGCCAAGTTGTTGTTTTTATTACATATCCACAGGGTTTTTCTTTTAAACTCTGACTCCTTGAAGATGTCTACACTTTCTATGTAGAAAGAATGTAAAACAATCTCACACTTTTACATGATCACTTTTGAGAGTGATCACATTTCTTTAAAAAAAAAAAGTTAAAGAAAAACAGGGAAGTAAATCCTAATTTTAACCAACAACTCATAGTTTTAACTTCCCAATAGTCTCAAGTGACCTAAAATTTTTTCCTAATAGTAATCCATGTACATTTTTAAACAGGTGATTATGTACTTTCAATAATTACATGTTAGGTACATGAAGACAGACTATTGTCAACTGTGGAGTGTTTAATCACTTTGCTAATAAAGTCAGATATTAAGTGTCTAGGTGCTAATGCTCCAGTAATAATAGATTATTCATGGCCTCTGTTTCTCCTCTCTTCTGCCTTGATAACTACTCCTCTGCTTATTAAGCACTTCTGGCAAAGAGGGTAGACAGGTAAATCAAAAATGCTTACAATTCAAGTCAAGTGATTCTGTTACCATATTGCTGTTACCAACACTTGCCAGAATTTCCTGGGCAGAGCAGTAAGACAGCTTGGCTTAAGCTAGTAAATGTCTCTAGATTATAGTTACATGGACCTGGTCATTGCCCTCGGTAACCACCTGCCTGACAGATGCATAGACTTGACATTTAACAGATGGTTTCACATGCAGGGTCATATTTGAGACTTACAGTGGTTTCAGTTGTATGCTTGTTACATTTGCATATTCAAAATTGTTTCTCTGCAACCAAACTTACCCAATTTCTACTATCGTTAACATATTTTCTTAAGAATGTAGTAAATTTTATTGTCTTTCTGTCACCTCTTGGGTCCTCTTCTTTTCACATTTACCCTGTTGATTATTTGACTTACTCCTTTCTCATGTAAATAGGATTCATTGTTTCCGCTGTTCCACCATCACACTTCTTTTCTCCTCCTTCCCCAATTCTTTGAAACAGTGAACCCATTCATCATTTTGTTTATGGCAGTAGATCCCCTCCTGGCCCACCCCAAGTCATTGGCTAATTTGAAAACCTGTTGCTGTGGCATTTCAGAGGCCATCCTGCTATCTGTCACCTGTTCCTTGGCCCCTTCTCTAGGCCAAAGGCTATTTTTCCTGGCATAGAATATCTTACTAGCTATAATTCAGTTTGTTCTGTGCAATGTTACATATGGATATATTGTTAAACTTCCATTCTTATGTTTCCAGAACATCTTTAAAATATCTTTATTTTCCTTATATTCAGCTCTGTTTATTTTAATGGTGGGAACTGCTTAATAAAATATATCTCACTTTCTCATAGTAATGGTCAAATTCTTTCCACACTTCTCTGCTTTCATTCTCAGTTGCTTTTTACACCATACTTCCCTCCAAAGTGGACACGATTTCTTTGTTTTCTTAGCATTACGTTTGGATTTGGACTCTTGTTCCACCCTCTCCGGTCTGCTTGTTTTCTGTGCTCATTCCCCTTGTTTCCTATAATTGTACATGCTGTTCTGAGGTATAGACTGTATCCCTTTTAAGGCTAGATACTACTTTTTTCATATTTGAGGTATATTTCCTTTTAAGCGGCCCTAGGATGCATCCTCACTTGTCATTTTAATTCTCCTACTGCATGGAATGCTAGTCACATAAATGTTGCCATGTACATCATAGAGCTAAAAGGTGATCATATGGTTTTCTTTTATGATATATAAGGAGCTACCATCATTAGTGTAACATCTTGATTGGCAGGATATTAAAGAAAAAAATCATCTCTATGCTCAAAAGCTTTTTCTTGACCTAACATAGCCAATAACCTTCCCACTTCTTTCCTTTTAAAGGGACTATTTATATAAGTGAAGTAAAGCTTATAACAGAACAGACAACAAGCTCGGGGTGGGAGGTAGGGCTTGGGGAATACAGGAGGGAATCAGAAATTCTGGCTGACCTGTTTCCTTTCCAGTTTTCCCAGCTAACCTCCAGACCTGAACCAGCTTCCTCGCCATCCCTTAGCCACGCTGGCCACTGCCTCTCCCACTCAAGGCCTCTACAGACATTTGTTCCCCTCAGCCTCTGTTTGGGTCTGTCTTCATCTCCTCATTGAACTGAAACAAGACTGACCTTTTTCAGTGTGAACCACAGTAGGAAATCCCACCTTCTGTCCCTGACTGTGACCTCTCTTCAGAAACAGATGAGTCCACAGGGCACATATTCTTCCTTGTCCAAAAGTAGCTAAGCCGAACCCCAGATCCCTGCACACACAAATAGGCCACTGTCCCTTTTCCTGGCCCAGCCCTCTTTGGAGAAGGCACTGCACATCCTCTCCTGAGTTCTTAGTGTAAGATCACTGGGTTCTTGGAGCAGAAGAAGTCCCAGGTCACCTCCATGGGCAGTGGTTGAATAAGAAGTTGCTGGACTTTCACAGTAACTTTAGCCCAAGTGCAGAGAACACCTTCGACACTTTTCTAGGGGTAATTTGCATAAAATAGAGCTATACTCTGGAGTGCTGAGCCTTCTCTCCCTTCTTCCTCACCCTTTGTCACCGTTGAAGAGAATGTTTTCCCACATTCCTTTGGAATGTTCTGTGAATTCTCCTGATTTCACCAGCCAGCTGGTTCCCACCGCTTTCAGGCATGCCACTCGGCTTTGTGACACTTAACCTGACATCGTTGCTAACTTCTCAGCAAGATGCCTGCAGAAAGCTTATCATCAGTGTTTAAGAAAGTTAGTCACGTACAGTTCTTTACCCTTATGCTGGTTTTTTTGTTGTTGATACATTACAGTTTACAGAGGACTTTATTAAAATATATGATAATTATTTACTCTTGACAACAGTCTCTTAGGGTAGGTTGTAGTCTCCATTTAGAGTTCGGAAGCTAGAGAGGCAAATGACTGTCAAGTGGCAGAGAGAATAGACTTCTGAATTCAAGGTCTTCCTCCCGCATCAGCCTCATCTCACCCGTCAGAAATGTGTTGTAAACACATCCTTGTTTTTGTGCTAGCCATGCCTTCTAGCTGGTGTGGAGTTGAAAACCCCCATCTCTGACCCTGAAGTTTTTCCCTCCTCAGCAGTTCTGTCAGACACACGCGTACTGAGCTGTGATTTTCCAGTCAGATCATTACACGTCAGCATGCACAGCCACTGTGGGCCCCGTGTGCGTGTCTGCAACACTTTGCCCATTTGCTTCTCTGCTTTTTTAGTGCTCATTTCAGGGCTTTCTGATAAATCCCTCCAATTAATTGGCCTTTCTCCTTGAAAGTTCCCAGACTGTTTTTCCTACTGGGGTTTGTGGACTATTTGGAATAGAATTACCCAGAAATCTTCTTAAAAATGCACCTTCCGGGTCCCACCCTACATTTGATACAGAATTTCTGGGAATGGAGTCAGAGAATCATCATTGTTATTAAGCTCCTTGGATAATTTTATGAATTCTAAGGTTTGAGAAATGCTCTAAGATACTGTAATGTTGTGCTTTAAGTTTCATTTGACCTTCTCTTTCTTGATTCTGCTTCACATTTCTTCTTAGTTTCCTTGAGGCCTAACCAAATCTCACCATCTCTGTCTCAAGTCCAAGAACCATGGTCTCATTCTTTAAAAAAAATTCTTAAAAAATGAAAGCCTGGCATTCCCTCACCCAGCTAAGTAGAGGGACTGTGAAGTTTCTGGGGCCTTCTCCAAAATCCAGTGTCTGCTGAGCTGAGGCTCACGTGTGTGTAAGACGAAGCTGGAGGGGCCCACCTTGAAGGTAGTCAGATCCGAAACCACAGCACTGAGGAAGCTAAACTACTGTTTGTTTAGGGGGTGTGTTGGGGGAAGGGCTCTATCCTGGGCATGTGCTTCCTGTTGCCTGTCCAGACAGACCAGGCCGATCGTTCAGGACGTAACATAATGTATGTTAGTACTGCACAGACATCTCTCTTCTTGGGATTTCTCAAGAAGTGTCACCTTCCATGGACAGCTTTATTATTTTCTAGGTAATTC